TATCAGCACCTAAAATGTACATAATAGCACCTAAAATGTCCATATCAGCACCCAAAATTAACATAATAGCACCTAAAATGTACATATTAGCACCGAAAATGTACATAATAGCACCTAAAATGTCCATATCAGCACCTAAAATGTCCATATCAGCACCTAAATGTCCATATTAGCACCTAAAATGTCCATATTAGCACCTAAATGTCCATATTAGCACCTAAATGTCCATATTAGCACCTAAAATGTCCATATTAGCACCTAAAATGTCCATATCAGCACCTAAAATGTCCATATCAGCACCTAAAATGTCCTTATTAGCACCTAAAATGAACATAATAGCACCTAAATTGTACATATTAGCACCAAAAATGTACATAATAGCACCTAAAATGTCCATATTAGCACCTAAAATGTACATAATAGCACCTAAAATGTACATATTAGCACCTAAATGTCCATATTAGCACCTAAAATGTACATATTAGCATCTAAAATGTACAGAACAGCACCTAAAATATACATATTGGCACCTAAAATGTCCATAATAGCACCTAAAATGTACATAATAGCACGTAAATTGTACATAATAGCATCTAAAATGTACATATTAGCACCTAAAATGTACATAATAGCACCTAAAATGTTCATATTAGCACCTAAATGTCCATATTAGCATCTAAAGTGTACATAATAGCACCTAAAATGCATATAGCACCTACTGTAAATGTCCATAATAGCACATTAAATCTGCATATTGTGTACAAACAGCTTGTCACGTTACCCATGGTTTTAACAGGCCTTAATACAGCTTACACTGAAACCATCTCAACTTCCAGATCTAATGCTGCATTTATGTCATGTTGGATTTACCATAATTATAAGATGACAACTCCAAGATTTCACTCTGAGCTATTCGTGTCCTCACACTCAGAAAATATTTGTTTCTATGGCAACTTTCAGATCGCCAAAATGGATCTGTGTCTTTGCTGTTGATAATATATTGTCGTTAATTAACTTCAAAAAATGTGTGAGAGCATCATTCATTTATTAACGAGCAAAGAAAGTGCAACAGGTAAAACGGACTCAAGTGAACTGTGCTGCACCAAATCATGGTCAAGTGGGAGCTGTTTCATAAAGTTTCTAAGTTTGAAAAGACATTAATGATTCTTACATGTTGGAAACTCACAATTACAAAAATTCGACCATGATGTGAATGCACTGTATATGAAAGAACACAGGTAAAAGAAAAGATGGGTAAAAAAAAGAGAAGGATTATCCAGCTTGTATAGTTGGCGTATCCACAGATAATTGGTGCCACTGTGTTTGGAGCACCGTGAGGTTTGTGACTGATTCTAGATCTGTGCTGTTGGATTTATTTGCTCAGATCGACTGCAAGTGCGTAAAGTGTTTGTATAAACTCCTCCTGACAGTCTTAGCATTAGCGCTAGCGCGAGGTGTCGGAGGAAATACACGCCGAAATCCTGCAACGCTGCAAATATTTGTTGATGAGATTCTCGTAGGAGAGCAAGCCTGGTGTCGATCCTTGTAAACAACACTCATGATTTGAACAAATATCTATTCCTAGATTATTTCAATGCAGATGCAACATATGATATAGTTTTGATAGTCCACTTTAGACTGTACTAGTCATCTAAACACTTTATTTTGATGCTCCACCAACAGTCCTTTTATTGATTGTAAGTAACTTTGCAAGTACATCTCCACTTATTCTACTAGCCCGAACGCTAAAGCCTAGTTTACACTACATGATTTTAAAACAGTTCACACTACTTGACTTGCTCTCTGTGAAATCAGGAGTATTCAAGTTGTTGAGCTGTTCACACCACGCGACACAACGTGATTGATCCGCAACAGGAGATAACGCACTACTATCGTCACCCAACGTTTCGATCTTGCCTACAAACCACGAAAAATCACGCGATAAAACAAACCGAAAATGACGCGAAACAGCACTCGCGCCAATACCCAGCGAAAAATACTGACCTCAACCCATGCCTTGCTCTGATTGGCTGTAGCTCATGACATCATCGTGTGACAGCTCTGGATATATAGCATGCTAGATATTTTTCTGGGCTGGGCGAGGCGTCTGCGAGCGTCTTTGATGCATTGTTGGCTCTTTCATACTACCGGATTGGCGAGCGGCCGTTCATTGCCCGCTAATCCCCCGCGATTTGCACGCGATAACACCCTGACCTGTCGACGAGTGCAACGATTTGCAAATCTGGCTGTGTACTAATACTCTAATGAGAGTTCATTTGACATGTAGCTGCAAAGTTACTTATGGCGTACTTACAAATTTACTTACTCGACTCGACTCGCTTTTCACATTGTTTTCCCATTGCTGACAGTAGCGCCACAAATAGTACCCGGTCGTCATAGCGACGCTTTTCGTTCCTCGTTTCCCGATCAATCTCTCGCTGGATCGTCTCTTCGGCCACCAAACAAAGGAAAGTCTGCACCTCCTCGTTTGACCACGGCGTATTCTTCCGAGTTGCCATAATAATAGTAGAAAATTTAGTAACTATCTCTGGCCAAACTATTTAAAAATGGCGGGTTATTCTGGATACTCCATGTGGCGCGTGTAATGATGACGCTGTGAATTGTGATGATTCTCTCTGACCAATCAGCAGTCGGCATTGTTTTCATTGTTTTCGAGCTGGTACTGTGTAGTTGAATAGTACCATTAGTAGAATGTCTAAATTGGAATATTGAAATAAAGTGAAACCCAACATCCCAGCTAACAATTTTACGTTCTGGGAACGTTAGTTTTTGGTTCCCAAGAACGTTCCCTATGGGTTATCCAGAAAAGTTTTCTTAACGTAAATAGAATTTTCTGGAAACTTTATGGGAGGTTCTCTGTAGGTTATAAAAATAGAACCATATACACTCTTAGAAGAAAAGGTTCTATCTAGAACCTTAAAAGGTTCTATCAACGCTACGTATTTGGAACCCCTAAAAGGTTCTATACACTCTTAAAAAAGGGTTCCTCTGGGTTTTATATAGAACCCTGGGGTTCCATACTTTTTACAAAAAAAAAATGGTTCTATATAGAACCATTTTGGAGTTCCATATATGAAGCGGGGGATGGAACCATTTCTGGTTCTAAATAGAACCATTTCTTCTAAGAGTGCAGGAATAGCCATTCCGAGAATGTTCTTGTTTGGTTCCCAAAAAATAACCAAATAGGAACCATACGGGAACGTTCTGTGTTTGCTGGATAAGTTCATTGCATGCTCAATCTTATGTTGCAGTGTAAGTAATGTTTATTTATTTTTGCTGGGAATGCAACTAAAATAAGCAATAAATATTAAATGGCATAGCAAAATCTGCACAATCCTATTGTATAGGGCACATTATATCATACGCCGAGCCTTGCATGGAAATATATGCAGTGTAATTACTGAAGATTGTTGTTGTGTGAAGTAGATAGTAAATGGTCATCTCCATTCACTTTCCCAACAGCTGCATTATCAATGTTTAGACTAGACATAGGAATTAATTGAAATCTGTTCAAACTACAGGAAAGCGATAAATCTGTTTTCGTATTGCTTTGCTTTACAATGAAAATGTGAATAACCTGTTTGTTTGGAGATGGAACTTTGGCACAATTAGCATGACAATGTGTTGCTGACATGAAAGCTCACATTAAACAAGGACGTGGCAAAAACCAAGCCGCCGCTAACGGCAACATATACTTGATAATGCATTTCATTAACAGGAATAATCAATTAGCAAAATACATTCATTAAACCTGACTAGCAAAAAGCTGCATATACATTCTGAAGATAAAAACACAGCAATGTGAAATGCAGAAGAGTTATTAGATGTAATAATGGAGAATATCTGTACAGTTTGAGCATCAAACCCAAAGTGAGATGAAACTCAAATAAGAACTAATGGAACTAGTGAATGGGCCTCTGTTAATTAAGATTGAATTTCTCTTTTATCATCTCATCAAGGCTCCTCTAATCACAGTCTCCGGGCGATCTCATTCGCTGTCATTACGCGCTCCGCGATGCATGCTAATTTGAAATGCATTCTTATCAAAACTCAGTTGTAATGGTCTGTAGGTCATTGACCCTTTTTGTTTTGAGCCACATGTTGGGCGCCGTTGTCTTGGGTCTCTATGTCTTGTGTTTGGTCACCAGATTAATAACCAGGTTCCATTAGTCAACATTAATGCATTAACTAAAATTAAAACGATTTATACAGTTGCAAAGCAGCTTTGTAAAAAAATTAGTAAATTAGAAAAGTATATTTCATTGTTAGTTCATGTAACTTTTTTGTTCAATATTGCATATATTAATTGCTTATGTTATATGTGAAATGTTCATACAGTATATGCATATATATACATTATATATATATATATATATATATATATATATATATATATATGCATGTGTGGGTGTGTGTTTCTACATGTTCTGTTATTTTGAATGAATACATTATTTAATTGAACTCCCATCAGATCTTGGCAGATGTGTGTTGTGATCATTTTTATACTCATGCTTTTGCGGCTCATTAGTCATGTAGAATGAGGACACAAACATTTAGATCTGTAGTAATGATATGTACATTTTTGCATTTCAAGGTACACATTTACATTCTCATCAGTTCTTGCTTTCCCTGGGAATCGAACCCATGACCTTGGCGTTGCAAGCGCCAACGCTCTGTTTGAGCTCCTAGGACCAAAAATGCTCTCCTTTACACGTCTGTGAATCATGGTGCAGACTGATATGGAATGAAACCACGGCCTCCTTTAGGTTTTCTGTCGCTTTGCCCAATTCGTAAACTTTTAAAGGGGCGATTGATTTCGTCAACAATGGATACAATTTATGTTTGATTATGTTCCTGAAAATAACGATTGTAATTTAGCTCTCTATGCTGTACATTTACAGAAGACAGCTTCCAGAATCTCCAAGAATTCAACACCGGATTCAACAAGAAACTGTTACTAAAACATGAAGCAGATCCAACTTTAAATCCAGAGGCAGCAGTTGTTGGGACACAACCTGTAAGTAGGCTAAGACTTAATGCTTTTAAATGTATTTGCATGTATAATTTCAGACGTAATTTTTTAGTTTTATCAAATGCCAGCGCTGGCTTTACAGCCACTTAGTTGTGCTATTTTGTGTCTGCGACATACGTGTAGAAACTAGGGCTGGGTATTGACACAAATTTCCCAATTCGATTCGATTTCGATTCACAAGCTTGCAATTCGATTCGATTTCGATTCTGATTCGATTCGATTCAATATCAATTATTTTGGGTATCAGTTACAATAAATGGCAAATTTTCTCAAGGGAATCAAATCTCTTAACTAATGCTGTAAACTATGGGAGTCTAGTTCATTAGTTCATTAGCCTAATATGAAGGTAATAATGAACATAAATGATAATACATTTAAATTTTATTTATTTTTATAATAAGAAGATTATATGAAATATAAACATTTAAATGGTGGCTGTCATAAAAAATTGCCAGATTTATTCAAATATGCATTAAATATTGAAGAACATTAAGATTATAATGCATATGTAATATGGTGTGTATATTTAGCAAAATGCTCCTCTCTAGAGTTATTTTTTCTAGCTGACTAACGAGTTTATGTGGGTTTTCTGAGGTAAATATAACGATAACGATCATTTATGTTTTTGAATTTCTAAAGAAAATGGACATAATTTGAAATTTGAGACTTTGTTTCATATCATTAGTAACAAAGCACAAAGATTAATGCGATTTTTTTTGGATGCGCGCAGCCGCGATACAATGTTCCATTCATTCAAATGAAACAGGATGACTAATCAATTCTTGAGATTTAAGAATCAATATCGGTTCGTAAAAATGAGAATCGATTAATATCGAGAAATCGATATTTATTACCCAGCCCTAGTAGAAACATTTTGGAACTGAATTTTTATACTGTATGTAATAATGTTGTAAATGTATTTTTCATGTATATATATACTTGACGTTATTTTGATTTGATCAAGAACGTAAACCAATGCCAACGCTGTTTGTGTATATAGTAGCCAGTCAGTTCGATGCTATTGTGTAAAACAAACGTGTATAAAGTTAAAAAATATAGGCAAATTACCATTCAGACACATTTTGTAAGAGCCGTGTTTAGGGAGATCTCACGACCAATTCGTACGAATTTGTACGAGTGATTAAAAAGTGGCTAATTCGTACGACCTCACTCGTACGTATTCATACGATTTGTCTAAACCCATGTGATGGTTAGGTTTAGGGGCGGGGTCAGGGGTAGGTCATTCGTACGAATTCATACGAATTGCCCAATTCGTAAAATATGTACGATTTAGCAAAATACGAGTGAGGTTGTATGAATTTTTACGAATTAGCCACCTCGGAAAATTCGTACGAATTCCTGTGAGATCGGGTTGGAGGTTCTGCTTGCCTCTCTTCATCGCCGCTTTCTGAGTCTGGCTCATACTGATACTGCAGTTCGACACCATTATTTGACAGGAACAACACATGAAACTTGGCTCGTAAAGGTAATGAACGTTAACCTTCTGGACAACGTGCACTACACTTTAGCCAATCACAACACACCGGGCCAAACTAACCAATCTGAGCCCACTGCCTGTTTCTAAGGGAGTGGTTTCAGACTCAGGAAGTCAACCGGTCGTTCAAATCACAGAGGAGAACGCGGCTTACAATAAAGGTGAAATTTATGAAAAATAAGACTTTTAAAAAAAGAAAAACCACAAATACATGTTATATTGCACCCCATAAACACAATCATGCAAAGAAAAAAAAGCAGTCAACCACCCCTTTAATCATTGGAAAGGAGGCGAGCCGAACACTTTAGTTAACCTGGACACTTCTATCACACTGACACTTCTAAGGTTTTACAATGGATAAAAGATTTGGTAACTAATTGCCAAATATTTCACAACATGTGTATTTATAGCACAGATTTAGTGATTTAGGAAAAATATTGTGTTTTGTATATTTCCCATTACTTTTGTATTATTCATTTGTGGGATCAGTGTTGAATGAGAAATATATTATGATGTTTTAGCATTGGACATTATGCAACTATTTTGAATGAAAACTGAATTTGTGAATTTTATGCAAATGAACAAGGTGCCTTTCTCTCTCATTGGTCTTTTAAAGTCTAGAAATATGAATATAATATGATTAATTTAAATTATGGGCAATCAAAATCTGCCTATGAGTGAAATGAGTCGTGATTTTACACATCAATTAGCATTGTAATTAGGCACTGGTGTGATTAATTGCAGAGTTACAGAAAGCAAGGAGCCAATGATCTTTATAATGAACTGCCAGACGTGAAATCAGCCACTGACTGAGAAGACCATCGTAGGTTATGAGTTAGGCAAATTAATTAATGTACTTGTAGTTATTTGGCCAATGGGTGAAATCACCTGCCTCGGTTATCTTAGTGTTCGTGCAACTGTATATGAAAAAATAAATAAATAAATCATGAGATAATGCTGTGAAAACACTCAAAGCGGCACATTTTATGATAACCAGAAGTTTACGTTTAAGTTTATTTCTATCTTGGATGTTCAAAACAGACTAAACGCGTTGTGAAACTCACCTAGTATGTTTTTCTGTGCAATATCTAGACATACTTAAATCCAGATAAGTTTACTTAAGATGCAAAAAGACTGAAAAAATGTGTCAAAATCAAACGAGTTTATACTTTAAGGAGTAGTTTAAAAAAAAAAAACTTTTGCTGATAATTTACTCACCACCATGTCATCCAAGATATCCATGTCTTTCTTTCTTCAGTCGAAAAGAAATTAAGGTTTTTGATGAAAACATTACAGGATTTTCTCCATATAATGGACTTCAATGGGGTCCAAACGGTTCAAGGTCCAAATGAGAGTTTCAGTGCAAACTGCAAACTGTTCAAAGGGCTTTAAACGATTCCAGACGATGAATCGGGGTTTTATCAAGCAAAACGATCGTTCATTTAATAAATTAATAACAAAGTTTAAGTTTTATAAGCTCAAATGGTCGCCTTGCTCTGTTCTGTGTTGTGCGTTCGTGACTTTCCTGTTTAAAATCGTTTATCAAAATGAACAAATCTTTTTTCGAGTCATTTGGTTCATTCAACGGTCAGAAAAAATCATCTTGTTTTCCCTTTAAAGTAAGTTTATTTTTCTGACCCTAGATATTTTGCTCTTGTTTTAAGTATAAACTCGCTTAATATTTCAGAAAACAAGACTCAATATCTTAAGTCAGTAAATATATCTTAGGTATTTGTACTGGAAAGCAAGAAGTAAATTATCTTTTTTTCATTGTGCCAAAAAACTCAGCATTGCATTTGATTTGATTTGACTAAATATACAGTTTCTCGATTAATAGATGTCTAATGAAAGTTCCCGCGTGATCTGGTCCCGAGGGCCACACTTATGATCTGGGAATGCATGAACTCAAGTAAAAAGCGCTGCACTCCAAAGGTAGTTAAATTTCTCACTTCAGTGACTTTATTAAATCAGTTTCTGCATGGTGAGCCGCTATTGAAACTGGAGAGCGATTTTCCCAAAGCGTTTCTTTCATGCTCACTCTTAGCTTTTGGTGGAATGGAAAGTTTTCTTTTGCTATTTTAGGAAGGTAAGCAAATTCACCATAATTTATCGGTAGAGTGGGGATGGAGTTATCTAGGACTGATATGGTTGAGGTAATTTAAAAATGCTCTTGCATGCAATGTTGACCGTTTCATTGAGAACTGGAGTATTGTCTCGAGTTTCTTGTGCAGACAATCCTCAAAACAAGCCTGGATTACGGTTGGGGGCCACCAATCAGCTCGCGGGGGGCCGGATTTGACCCGAGGGCCTGACTTTGAGTACTACTGATGTATTGGTCTGAGATTCCTTTAAAGCATCACACCAGCATAGAGATATTTTCCAAAGGCACTGGAGTGCAAAAAGTTTTTTGTGGACCTTGAAAAGAATCAATAAGGATAGGTTTTTGTATTTTCATGTCAAATGAATATCACTATTATTAGATATGCATGTAAATATAAAAGTGTGATGTTGTTTTTGAGATACATTTAGTATAAATAACAACATGAAACTCTTAAATTTTGCTTTCTCAGTTTCTCATCTCCAATCATAATTGATGTTGCTTGTTTTTTGATGCAACTGATTTAAATCAAAGTTCATGCATACTGACATAAAAACAGTTTTTGCATCGTCTATTTTTAATGCGGAAAGGTATGGAAAATTAGTCACGCATTCTACGGAGCCTCTAAAGTGCTTATCAGATTTCACTTATCCTAAACGTCATTGACAAATCTTGTAAAACGTGTGATCAAACAAGTGAAAAGTGGAAAAGCAAGCCCAAGAATATTCAATACACTCTAAAAAATGCCAACTTTGGGTCAAACATAGACAAACCCAGCCATTGAGATAAAGGGATAGTTCACTTTCAAATTAATGTTTGGTGTGTTTTATCTTACCTCAAGGGCATCCAAGATGTAGGTGTCTTTGTTTCCGCAGTAGTTTCAATTTTGATATTTTTAGGTTCTTGTCTGTCAGTCATATAATGCAGGTCTATGGTCACCACCTCAAAGAGCATGCACAGAGAAGTCCACATTAAACATGATTTAATGACTCGTAAATGTAAGTACACATTGTTGGCCTAAAACACGAAACGAGCGGTTTGTGTGAGAAAACGAACAGGATTTATATCGTTTTTACCTCTTGTAATCACATCCACGTCCAAGTGATCTGACGGCGCGATTCAGTCTGCGCAAGCACCGGAAGTGATCTCTCGCACGTGTACGTCACTCAGATTTCGGAAGTGTTACCCTTCACTGTGAAGATCTAAACATATTTAGATATACAGGAAATCGCAATGGCTTTCGATATATCAACAGACAATTTTTTTCGCAACCGTGCGAGAGACCACTTCCAGCGCTTGCGGAAACCGAAGCGCCCGCGCCCTCAGATTGGACATGGATGTGATTACAAGAGGTAAAAACGATATAAATACTGTTCGTTTTCTCACACAAAC